CGGCATAACCTGATAGTCCTGGATCACTGGGCGGCATAACCTGTTATTCCTGGATCACTGGCGGCATAACCTTTTATTCCTGGATCACTAAGCGGCATAACCCTGTTTTTCCCTGGATCATGGGCGGATAACCCTGCTAGTCCTGGATCACTGGGCGGCATAAACCTTTTAGTCCTGGATCACTGGGAGGCATAACCCTGTTAGTCCTGGATCACTGGGGGGCATAACCCCTGTTAGTCCTGGATCACTGGGCGGCATAACCCTGTTAGTCCTGGATCACTGGGCGGCATAACCCTGTTAGTCCTGGATCACTGGGCGGCATAACCCTATTAGTCCTGGATCACTGGGCGGCAAACCCTGTTAGTCCTGGATACTGGGCGGCATAACCCTGTTAGTCCTGGATCACTGGGCGGCATAACCCTGTTAGTCCTGGATCATGGCGGCATAACCCTGTTAGTCCTGGATCATGGGCGGCATAACCCTGTTAGTCCTGGATCACTGGGCGGCATAACCCTATTAGTCCTGGATCACTGGGGGGGCATAACCCGTTTAGCCCTGGATCACTGGGGGGCCCATAACCCTATTAGTCCTGGATCACTGGGCGGCATAACCCTATTAGTCCTGGATCACTGGGCGGCATAACCCTGCTAGTCCTGGATCATTGGGCGGCATAACCCTGTTAGTCCTGGATCACTGGGCGGCATAACCCTGTTAGTTCTGGATCACTGGGCGGCATAACCCTGTTAGTCCTGGATCACTGGGCGGCATAAACCCTGTTAGTCCTGGATTACTGGGCGGCAAAAACCCTGTTAGCCCTGGATCACGGGCGGCATAACCCTGTTAGTCCTGGACCCACTGGGCGGCATAACCCTGTTAGTCCTGGTCACTGGGCGGCATAACCCTGTTAGTCCTGGATCACTGGGCGGCATAACCCTGTTAGTCCTGGATCACTGGGCGGCATAACCCTATTAGTCCTGGATCACTGGGCGGCATAACCCTGTTAGTCCTGGATCTCTGGGCGGCATAACCCTATTAGTCCTGGATCACTGGGCGGCATAACCCTGCTAGTCCTGGATCACTGGGCGGCATAACCCTGTTAGTCCTGGATCACTGGGCGGCATAACCCTGTTAGTCCTGGATCACTGGGCGGCATAACCCTGTTAGTCCTGGATCACTGGGCGGCATAACCCTGTTAGTCCTGGATCACTGGGCGCAAAACCCCTGTTAGTCCTGGATCATGGGCGGCATAACCCCTGTTAGTCCTGGATCATGGGCGGCATAACCTGTTAGTCCTGGTTTCACTGGGCGGCAAAAACCCTGTTAGTCCTGGATCACTGGGCGGCATAACCCTGTTAGTCCTGGATCACTGGGCGGCATAACCCTGTTAGTCCTGGATCACTGGGCGGCATAACCCTGTTAGTCCTGGATCACTGGGCGGCATAACCCTGTTAGTCCTGGATCACTGGGCGGCATAACCCTATTAGTCCTGGATCACTGGGCGGCATAACCCTATTAGTCCTGGATCACTGGGCGGCATAACCCTGTTAGTCCTGGATCACTGGGCGGCATAACCCTGTTAGTCCTGGATCACTGGGCGGCATAACCCTGTTAGTCCTGGATCATTGGGCGGCATAACCCTGTTAGTCCTGGATCATTGGGCGGCATAACCCTGTTAGTCCTGGATCACTGGGCGGCATAACCCTGTTAGTCCTGGATCATTGGGCGGCATAACACACAGTTAAATATAATTCAAAAATAAATGTAATTCTAAAATATAATTAAAAAATAAATATAATTAAAAAATAAATATAATTCAAAAATAAATATTATTCAGAAATAAATTTTATTCAAAAATAAATAAATTTAAAAATAAATATAATTCAAATATAATTCAAAATTTCTGTTTATTACAATTTGGGTATAATTTTTATTTTCCCAATTTACTCAAGAGTTGAATTCGATGTTGTGCGAGATATTCAGAAGAAATTTGTGGAAAGAAATGTGATTTAATTCTCATTTTAATTAAGTTTAGTAAAAAAAAAATACAAATAATGTGGCTGCCAGGATTAAAATGTTGAACTTTTACAAAATGTGTATTGTTAAACTAGTGTGTTAAATTATGAGAAGTTTGGCGATGTACCGGACCACGTGGCTTTGTTTACTAGTGTCCCGGACCACGTGGCTTTGTTTACTAGTTTCCCAGACCACGTGGGTTTGTTTACTAGTGTCCCGGACCAAGTGGCTTTGTTTACTAGTTTCCCGACCACGTGGGTTGTTTACTAGGTTTCCCAGACCACGGGCTTCTTGTTTACTAGTGTCCCGGACCAAGTGGCTTTGTTTATTAGTTTCCCCGACCACGTGGGTTTGTTTCTAGTGTTTCCCCGACCCGTGGCTTTGTTTACTAGTGTTTCCCAGGACCACGTGGCTTTGTTTACTAGTGTCCCCGGCCAAGTGCCTTTGTTTACTAGTTTCCCCGACCACGTGGGTTTGTTTACTAGTGTTTCCCCGACCACGTGGCTTTTTTTTACTAGTGTCCCGGACCAAGTGGCTTTGTTTATTAGTTTCCCAGACCACGTGGCTTTGTTTACTAGTGTTTTCTCAGACCACGTGGCTTTGTTTACTAGTGTTTCCCAGACCACGTGGCTTTGTTTACGTTTCCCAGACCACGTGGGTTTGTTTTCTGGTTTCCCAGACCACGTGGGTTTGTTTACTAGTGTTTCCCAGACACGTGGGTTTGTTTACTAGTGTTTCCCAGACCACGTGGGTTTGTTTTTAAGTTTCCCAGACCACGTGGGTTTGTTTACTGCCTCAGTAAAAACACCACGATCACTGTGTTCCTTCTTGCCCACCAGAGGAGTACACGAAAATCCAGACGCCGCGGCAGGAGGTGAACTTCAAGAAAAAGCTCGCTTGACCGCAAGCAAGATTCACTCGATCAGGCCTCTGTCACCGGCTCCATGACCTCCAGCAGCGGGTCGTGTAGCACCAGCGGTTGCCGAGGCGGTGACCGCACTCCAGGCAGCCCTGGCGGTAGCGGGGACCAGGTGAGTCACACCTTCACTATAATTATGTGGAGGTGAAAACGTTCTTAAATACATTTAAAATGAGACGAATCGAGGTGTGTGTGGGGGTTTAGCCAGTGTGCGTGCGTGCGTGCGTGCGTGCGTGGTGTGTGTGTGTGTGTGTGTGTTGTGTGTGTGTGTGTGGTTTTGCATTGTTTAATGTTTAAAAAGCGCGCGCGCGCCACACACACAGGAGTGTTAATACAAAAATTGCCTCTCCCACAGCTCTCCGGGGATCAGGTGTCACTCTCAGGATCTATGGAGGACAAAAACACTCTCCGTGGGGGGCGACGAGCCCTCAGCACCCTCCACCGCGACGCCGTCTTCGAAGGTACGGTCTCGCCATGGGGTGTCCTGCGTCGGTCGTCGGTGATTTAACTTTTCGTCGTGTTGTTTCTAATCATTTCTTTGTTTTCTGCCTGATAGTTTGTAACTGTGTCTGGTTGATTGTGTTAAGAGTTTTGTTGTTGGAAGGTGGGGAAAAAGTTGAACTGTGTTGGTGGCATCCTCCTCAGGCACTCCTTGGGCGTGCAGTGTCCTCAGGCACTCCTTGGGCGTGCAGTTGTAGCAGACGGCACAGTATAGTAGCGAGGCATAACAGTATAAGAGGGAGGGTGGAACAGTATAAGAGGGAAGACTGAACAGTATAAGAGGGGGATGAACAGTATAAGAGGGGAGACAGAACAGTATAAGAGGGAGACTGAACCAGTATAAGAGGAGACGAAGGGAATCATACAGAAGTGAGGGGGGGATAAAAGGAGGGTAGAAAGGAAAAAAAAAAGGAATAATGAGAAGACGTGGGAGAGAGAGAGAGAGAGAGAGTGAGAGTGAGTGAGTGAGTTTGTGGAGGGCTGATGCGAATAATGAAAGGTTAGTGAAAGGGGAAGGTGGATAGGGATGAGTAGAAGTACGGACAGGGTAGGAGGATGGAGGTGTTGGTGAATGTATGTGTTTGTCTTACACTGACGATGTAATTACTGCCAGTTTAGTTGCACTGGCACTTAGTGACAGGAGATGGAGAAGGAAGGGAGGTGGATGCCATGTTTACAGCTTTTGGGTGCCCCCCATAAGAACACTGACACAAATGTCGTGATGACTGTCTTCTGCATGCCATCTGGCATCTTGAGAAGGGAGGGAGGGAGGGGGGTGTTAATGGGTGAGGGGGAGGGGGAAAGGGGAAAGGGGAGGGGGGAGGGAGAAGTGGCGGAAGTCGGATGCTTTACTGAGGCTGTCAGATGGAACTCAGTTATATAGGTTGTGTAGGAGAATACATGTTAAAACAAAAACAGATAAATTAAAGAAATGTACATGGAAACAAAATATATATAATATATATATATATTATATATATTTTATTAAAATATTATATATATATATATAATATATATATTATAAAATGTCGTGCCGAATAGGTAGAACTTGCGATCTTGGCTTAAATTTGCAACGCTCATCTTGCCATATAGGACAAGTGAAAATTTGTGTATGCAATAATTTCGCCAAAATCATTCTGAACCTAACGAAAAAAATATATTTCACTGTTTGTTTAGCATTAAATTTTTTGTAAACAAATCTAAAATATTTAGTTGGGTTAGGCTTAAATAAATTGTTCCTGTTTAATAAGGTTAGGTAAGTTTTCTAAGATTCTTTTAGTGCAAAATTATAAATTTTTACATTAACATTTATGAAAAAAATATATCTTTTAACGTATAAAAGAAAATTTTAAAAAGGACTTAATTTTAAAAGAGTTATTGGTAATTGACCCGTTTTACCTATTCGGCACGACACATATTTTGTATATATATATATATATATATATTTTATATTATATATATTTTAATATATATATATTATATATAATATAAAATATATATATATTATATATATCTCATAATAATAATTGACGAAAAGTATGCAAATGTAAAAACAAGTAAAATTATG